GCGCTAGAAGGAACGCTTTCTTTCCCACGTGGAAACGCCAACCGTACTGTTATGTACACCTGCAACTCACGACCCTTTCACACCAAACGAGTCGAGCACTGTCCGAGGAATGTCTGCTCACCGATATTTCTATTTCAAGGGCGCGTGAATGGTGATTAATATCCAGTTTAGTTCCGACCGTTCAAGGATTCAGAAGACAATCCTTCGAAATCCATTCACTTCCTTCAACATTTTTTGACGTTCTTTTTATCGTTCTGTTTATAAATGGGACATGGTCTAAGGGGCAAGAAAAGGAAAGCAAACAAAAAGAAATAAATGAAGAAAATGTGTAAAAGAGAATGTCTTGTCTTTGAAAGATTTTTCTTTCTTACACAATTTAGCTGTAGAATACGACATCGGATCCTTTTTCCAAGAAGAGACGGGAGAGCCAAGAACCGACGCGAGTTGCGTTAGGAATCCGTTCGATGGATTTGAGATTCGTGTTGCGACGAAGGGAAGTTGCGTCACGTAGAAAGCCAACGAGGACGGGTTCGCTCGTTTAGCTACGCACATTGTTACGTTAGTAGATCGTACGATCGTAAAAGACTTTGTTGGTATTTCTCTGAAAGAAGTAGAACAAGAGGTGGCGTTTCGTAGTTCGATGCTTCGTTCACCTTAGACGGCAATTCGATATCCACGGCCGCTCCTTTTCGACGTTTTGCATCGTAAAAGAAACTCTAGTAGGGGGAGGAGACATAGAAAAAGAGAGAAAGAGAAAAAAAAGAAAGAGAGAGGTAGAAGGAGTATAGCGCCAGGTTCGTTAACCCATCGTATAGACGTCGTTGTAGAAATGCAATTCGCCAGCTGACGATGCGCTTAACTGCAGTGAACCGAGCACGCCTCGAGAGGATAAAAAAAAGAAGAAAGGGAGACAAGAACGAACAAGGTAGAGATAGATAGGCTTTGCTATGGTGTAGAAAGAGATGGAGAAAGAGATAGAGAAAGAAAGAGAAAGAGAAAGAGAGATGAATGGCGATGGTATTGCCTTCCGATTTTTAATTTCTAATTACCGCGTAATGACCCCACACTCTCTGGCCCGAAGTGCCGAGCGTGCAGCAGACCTTATGTCCCGATAGAGAGCATGGCCGAGCCTTTAGTTATGGGTTGCGATAATTGCCAATTTTCATGGGCTCTCCTATCTAGCCTTCGATAGATCTAAGTCTTCGTTCTAACTTTCTCTAGGCTACATTTACAAAACCGATCGTTCTCGATCGATTTTATGAAGGGTCAATAAGAATTAGCGTTATTTAGCTACTTACACCTGTGTCAATACGATACATCATAGATCGATGATAGAGAAAAGGTATAAGTGTATATATGTATATGTATAGATATGCTTGAAAAACGGTAGTATTTTTCTTAAATATTTCTCTCTCTCTCTCTTTCTTTCTGTCTTGCATTCCTTTGTCGTCTAAAATAAACGTGAGGAAATATATAATACGTATACGTTATTCGAAAGTTTTTCTTTTATCATCACCGTTGAATACTACGCAACGGACCATAACGTTCCATGGAAAGTCAGGTAGTCTAGGTAGAAACGGTTTTGGGATCGTGTCGAGCTTAAGATCAGGTTCGATTCGTAGAGAATGAAAGAAAGAAAGATGAAGAGGTGGGGTTAGAGCAACGAGAATCGAGGCCGTACTTCTTGAGATCGATCGTCGATCACAAAGAGATTCCTTTTCGAGAGAGATCACCTGCCCCATATGCACTGTCATTCTCGACGACAGGTATCGCACCTGTAATACACCTGCACGCTTCGACTACCGATTTAGAAAGAAATTTACTAGCACGCCCGACGATTATCGGATATTCATCTGTACTTTATCGCACAGCTGAACTTCGTTATGCGGGTATACAGTGTATAGGAAAGAGGAGGAAAAGAAGATGCCAGGGCCTTTTTTCAAAAAGCTTCGTGTAAGATCGTTTTCAAGAAGGCATATATTATCACGTATTTCGTGTTACCGCTGCGATCTCAAGAACCGATAGAGTGATATCCGATAGTCGATTAATCGATCGATTATGCTATAATTATACCGTTGAATATAAAGCGATTATTATGCAACGTCATACATATATACACATGTATAAATCGTGACAAGATCGGTAGCGATATGGAAGAGATGTTCAGAAAAGTAAAACGAAGGTAAACTCAAGATCTTTTTATTTATTTTCCTCAAACCCTTCTCTTTGTTTTTTCCCTCGTCTTTTTCTGTATTTTAAGTAAATTTTGTTGAATTTATTCCTCTCTCGGAAGGCCGAAGGGCAACAAGATCGAACGAGGAACATAGGAGCGCTTTAAATATTATTCTCGATCGTTTCAATATGGTATATCTTAACGCGTGTTAGTCGGTATCTGGACAAGGATCGGAAAGGTAGCGAGAAGAAATAAGAAAGGAAGAGCAAGTGGCCGTTTATATCAGTATGGAATATCGTTTGGAGTCGTTTATTCGATCGCTCGTGCTCGCGCACACGCATTCTCTTGAATATCTACGAGGATGTTTAACGCGGCTGGACACGAGCTAGCCGTATCGAGAATACACGTTTAAACGTTCGCTTCATCTAGGAGGGAACTTGCTTCGAAGGGAGAAGTTACTTAGCTGCAAAAAGCCGTCCTTAGAAGCCGACGGCCGTCGCTAATTATCGATCATTATTTGCACCACGAGCGAGTAATTGGGATTTATGCTTAGCGTAATAAAAACGAATGGCCAAAGAAGGAGAAGGAAAAGGAGAAAGAGAATAGGTGAATGTTAAGAGGTAGTCAAACAGGACTTTTATAAACCACACTATAGTCTCTACTTAATTATTATTTACGTCAAACTATCACGCAAATCCTTCGAAGTCGTAGAGAGTTAGTTAGAAAAAAAAAGAGAAAGTAGAATAGAAAAAAGCAAAAAAAAAAAAGGTTAGGATCGTCTGCGATGTCCGTTCGACTGATTTACAGGACCAATTTGTGACAATTATCATTGCTAGAAATTTAACTATCGCGAGGGTAGAAGCGTAAAAGTTAACGTTGATACTAAATCACTTTTAGAAGGTTTGACGTAAAGACGGTAAAATAGCGCGAAGTCGCGCGTTCGCACCTTGCGCATTTTTACTTCGTCGCATCGAAGGACGGAATGCCGGAAGTTTCGAATAGTCGTATTCAACGACATAAAAGCCGGAGGGGCACTACTCGAGCGATCCGTCGAGCAATAAAATCGGCGACAAGCCGTGAATTCGTGACACGACGCTCATAAAGGGATTTATGCGCGCGTTCGAGAGGAATGAGTGACGACGAACTTGCGAACTATGCGTACCTATATGTTAATACCTTTCTACTATATATACATACATATATACATAGGTAAATACATATATATGTACATATATCTATGTAGGATATGTTTCTACACGCGATAATCTACCAACGACCGCTCGCAAAACCGCGGGATCGTTGAATGGCCAATAGTCGTGTCGCTATGCGTAAAACCGTACCTATTCCTGTTAAATAATTTCTATCCAACATTTTCTATCACTCAAGCTACGAGAGATAGGATAACATTATTATATATAAATATAAATATTGTGATAAAATATACTATCTAAAATATAATATAACATTATACAATAGGTCACAAAAGTATTCATATCCAATTACATCGTAAATTTTAATCAATTGATATTTGCTGGTAAAAAATGCAAAATTTCTAAATTCTTATATAGAGAAATCTATTGTAGGATTATTACATTTAATTTTACTAAATACTAAATGATAATAGATTATTTTCTTGTATTTTCATATATAT